GCAAGAACAACCAGTGTTCTTAACCGCTGAGCCATCTCTCCAGCCCCTGCGATTCCTTTTAAAAGATGAAAAATCTTGTGTGTGTGGTGTATATGTATTTGGGGTATGTGTTGTGTGTGGAGTGTATGGTGTGTGTGTGGTGTATATGTATTTGGGGTATGTGTTGTGTGTGTGGTGTGTATGGTGTGTGTGTGTGGTGTATGTGTATTTTGGGTATGTGTTGTGTGTGGTATGTATGGTGTGTGTGTGTGTATGTGTATTTTGGGTATGTGTTGTGGCGGTGTGTGTGGTGTATGTGTATTTTGGGTATGTGTTGTGTGTGGTATGTATGGTGTGCGTGTGTGTGTGGTGTATATGTATTTGGGGTATGTGTGGTGTATGGTATGTATGGTGTGTATGGTGTGTGTGTGGTGTATACGTATTTGGGGTATGTGTGGTGTGTGGTATGTATGGTGTGTATGGTGTGTGTGTGGTGTATATGTATTTGGGGTATGTGTGGTGTGTATGGTGTGGTGTGTGTATCCATTCCCACTGGGAGTGAAGAAAGCACTGCAGAGGTCCCAACAAGTCAAGAAGGTGCTGAGAGCCACCAGGTCTGGCCTGGGTCATGGAAGAGAGGAAGTAGAGCCTGGGACCTGACACTGGAGGCCACACAGGGACCCTGGCCACTCCTGCCTCCTGAAGACCAGGTGACATCCTTGCCTGAACCAGCACAGGATGCCACGACAGACATCGGGGAGACCATTGGGAACCACAGGAGACAAGCTCTATCTTCCAGTAGAAATGCATCATGGGAATGCACTAGAAGGAATAGCACTTGGTAAACATTCTGCCTGGAGGGAGTTCCAAGAAGAGTGCCTTAACTCTGGAGTAAAGTACCTCCAATCATCAAGTCCCCACATCTCTCTTTTGTCGTACCCTTGTGTCCCTAAGAAGGGGTTCCAAAGTGAAATCAGTTATGTCAAGGACCTCGTGTTCTTCATGTGTACCCAGGTTGTACCTTGTGAGAAGGGACCACTCTGGGGCATGTGGGGTTTGGATCTTGGGTTCAGACCTGGTTCCCTGATGCTCAAAAACTCCTGCGAGTGTGCCCATTTGGTGGATAGCACCCATCACACATACTAGGTTTTTTTTTTATGTGTATGCATGTACTGTCTGCATGTAGGTAAGTGCACCTGTGTCGCACGATGAACACGGAAGACAGAAGAGGCTGTTGGATACCCTGGAACTGGAGTTACAGTTGTTAGCTGCCATGTGGGTGCTGGGATTTGAACCCAGGTCTTCTGCAAGAACAGCCAGTGTTCTTAACCGCTGAGCCATCTCTCCAGCCCTACATACTAAGTTTTTATTAAACATGTTGGCACCCTCTTAAGACCTAGGCAATAGCAATAGGGTGGTATTTAGTATT